TGCCCCCTGGGTCGCTCAGCTCGCAGTGCGGTTTCTAAGAGCCCGTCCTGGACATTACGTGGGGACCTCGTGGATGTGTTTGGTGTCCAGGTTCCCTCGTCCTTCCCCACCTTGGTCTCGCTGAGCCCTGGGGACACAAAGCAGGTGTCCCACAAATGTGCTGAATGGAGGGGTGTAAAGTAAACGCGCTCCTTTGGGAATAAATGTGATGTGGCTCATCCGCCGGCTTCCCTAAAGGGAGCCACAGTGTACACGGGGCGGCCCGGGCGCCGAGCTTCCTCGCCGACTCCTCCTGGTTTATTTTGATCATGCTTGTTGCTGTCTTGCCCGTGTAGGCTCAGGGGAGAAGAAACCAGGCTGGGGCTTACCTTAGCTCAATTTTGTTTTCATTAAGAATGAGTGAACATGTGCAATTTACATGTTGTTTGTTTCCTTATTTGATGCTCTCACAGCGTCAAAATTCACCTCCACGACAGTCATTACTTGGCCACTTGAATTGTCTCTCAATCCTTTTTCAGTCCTCCTGTCGCCGTGCACCTGTATGTGGTCACTCGTGACATTCCGTCTATCTGGGTAGTGTCCGTCTGTGCTCTTCCCTCAGCACTTAAGTCAGTCCAGATCCTTCCAGGTGGCTCTGCAGTGGCTGCCCTGTCCTGCACTGGCATGGCGTATCACGGTGCGCAGGACGCGCGCCCTCCCCATGGACGGCACCGCGGTGCGCAGGGCACGTGACCTGTCCTTGGCTGGCTAGAGCTCCTGCAGTTCTCGCCGCCGGGAGTGACAGGGGATTCTCCAGGTCTTGGCTTGCGGTGTCGTGTATGCAGGTGTGCACGTATGTGACCACAAGGGGGCAGTAGATCCCGCGCAGTGAGGCCAAGGACATGGCTCTGGAGTCCGGCACGCGGGGTTTGAATCCCTGATCTGCAGCTACCCGGGCTCCCCCGCTGGCAAGCTGCCGGACCTTGTGCCAGGGCCTGTCTGTAAAATGGGTGACATTCTGGTCCTTCACAAAGTGTCTGTAACGATTATTATTTTTTTTTTAATCTTAAATTTTATTTTTATATTCCCCCATACAATTGCAAACGCCCCATTCTGACCCCAATCCTTCCCCTCCCGCCCCCCACCCCCCAAAAAGTGTCTCTGGTTCATAGTTTTTTGTTGATTTTGATTTTCACTTTCTTATATTCATTTTCCTGGTCCCTTATTTAAGTTTTCTAGATTCCTGCTATGAGTGAGACCATCCGGTATTTTTCTTTTTCTTTTTGGCTTATTTCGCTGAGCATGATCCCTTCCAGCGCCATCCATGTTGCTGCAAATTGCATGTGTTTATCTTAACGATTAAATGACAGGCGGATTGCTCAGGATGCCGTCGGGTGCAACACCCAGTCTCCCAGCGTTCAGCAAAGGAACCGGCCTGGCGAGGGGAGCGCAGCTGAAACAGCCACTGGCCACATCCTGCCTATGAGTGGTGGAGCTGGGTGCCGGGAGCGCGGGCACGCACCACGCAGCTTTGCAGATCCACTATCCACACTTTGCTTATGTTTAAAATTTCTTAGTAAGTGGAAGTATACACTATACAAAAACATTTTAGCTTTTACATTTATTTTTTCATTTTGGAAGATTTTCTTTGGGCCCGTTTGTAGGTGGGGACTGGTTTCTAGGTGTGGGTATTTTAAAGTTATTTGTCAAACACTGCCACCGCCCTGGTGAAGGCTTGTTGAGCACCTGGAGCTGCCCAGCCGTGGCCTGTCCACCTGTGGTCTGTCCACTGTGGCTTGCGGCAAGCCCGTTTCTTCTCAGTCTGAAGAGCACCTTCCCATTCAGTTTTATAGTTGCCTCACAATTAATTTCACTTTCTTTGGTTAGTAGAAATGGAGCAATTGCGTCTCCTGGTGGTTATCGCCACGTCCGACCTTGGTCCTTTCGTCTACGAGGCTTTACAGGATTCTGTGTCGTGCACACAGGGGTGACGGCACCACACACTCGTCTGCGTCTCACTCTGTTTTCAGGTGGAAGGAGAAACTGTCGTCACCACGTGACAGTTACGATATTTTGCTTGAAAAATTCCTATTTCGATACGTATTGATGACAAGCATTTTCTGACACCTGTAAGGCCCGGGACGCGGGCTGATTGTCCGCGTCACGCTGACGTGGGTTTGTTTCCACTCGTGGTTGCATTAGACGGGACAAGGCGCCGCTCCCAGGTGACGGCCACCGCTGTCCTCCAGTGTCCCCACAGCATGTGGCCTCTTGGTCATGGGCCGTCGGCCACTAGAGGCCAGGCTGCAGGTGTCCCTGCCACTGAACTTTGACCTCGGTCGGTTTGCAGGTGTGTTTGAGAGGACAGGACCCGTGATTCTGACCTTCTGTGTTCTGCTTTGCTACGAGCATCCGCCGCGGCATCCTGTCCAGCTGTCCCCGCCTTCCTCGACCTGGTCGTGACGGCTCCGTCCAGCACACGTGCCATCACAGGTGCCCCTGCAGGATTTGAAAGGCAGGCAGCGGCAGCCTGGGACGCTGAGCAATCTGCTGCTTTAGTGACTCAGCTTTTGCGTCTCCTCCTGCGGGGTTGGTACATTTCTGTTGTGTGATATGATTGCAACCTCTATCTTAAAAAATTTCGAAGGCTAAGCCCTAATATTTTAGAGTGGTTTGCTACTTCTTTGTCATATTCTGTGTTTAAGCCTATAATTTGTAAATGACAGCTTTTAAGAACGGGGATCTGGCGCGCTGGAGAGCCCATGTTTTATGCCATCTCTGTCTCCATGGGGACTGAACAGTGACAGTGTCTCAGACCCATATTTCATGTTCATGTTATTTATTGCTTGACAAATGGCAACAGGGGCATAAAATTGTTTTATTTGTCAGATTTGCATAAGAAGTTTCTTACAAAAAGCTTTTATGGCACACAGCACATCCATAAATTCTGACATAATTGTCCTTTGAGGTGGGCCTTGTAGTTTCGTTGTTGCTGTTTTTCCTTCTTTGGAAAACTTTTAACAGTAGAAAGCGCCTGCCAATTATTTAAAGGAACCGTGCAAAATTAAGAGAATTTTCTTTTTGTCCGTAATCTTTAGGAAAGTTAGATGTTGTATCTGAGAGCCCGCGACTGGCTTCCTTTGGATGATGATTATCAGGCCTAACGCAAGCAAGCAAAGCACTTTTTCGGAGGTATACTTGGGAAAAAACAGAGTTCTAGAACTTCTGTATAAAAATCAACATCTGAATTGTTTATGAATATGCGCTTATGGGTATGTTTGTACTTTTTATAAAACTTCTGAATGCAATTCCCAAAATAGTTCTTCTGCTTACCTAAGATAAAAACAAGTGTGGCTAGAAACGCCGTCGTTAATAAATTAATAGCAGAGGGCCTCCCCTGGTGGCGCAGTGGTTGAGCGCTGGGCTGCGAAGCTGCCCGCAGGCTCTCCAGCGCCAGTTTGATCCCCAGCTGCCAGCGAGGGTCCCACATGGCGCGCAGACCACTCCTGCCGCCCGCCGCTCCCCTCAGCAGTGTCCTTCGGTCCTTCTGCCTGCTCTGCTCCCCGCTCTGGCTCTGGTGAATTCTCTCACCCTCCCGCGCTTCTGACTGTACCCAGTGCTTGTATAAATAAATAAATAAATCTTTTAAAAAAAAAAAAAATAGCAGAGATGTCAGCTTTTGAGTTTTTCTAAACATGGACTTGGGAAAGGAGTTTTACTAGTCACAGCAGTAGGCCAAACCTGGGGTAGCGCGGGGCCGGCGCTGTGGTCCAGGATGCACTCATGACCCCTCTCCCCACTTCAACTCCTAGGCCAGGTGACTTTGGACTAGAAACACCAGTGACTCCCACTTCCATGGAGGGGGATTCGTGCGCTGAACTAGGTGGAGTGTGCCCGGCTGTGCCCGTGCCATCTTCACAGAAATTCCAAGCCTGCATTTTTCTTCGCATCTCGATTTTGCTTCAACAGTATCTTCTGGAAATCCTTCCAAGACATCTGGAATAGTCTCATCCATTTTTAAAAGTCTGCCTACTCTTGATTATTCTATGCTGTAGGCCGATGATTTATCTGATGGTTCCCTTAGTGGGTCAGCGTCTGTCCTTATAAGCTGCTGGGAGCTGTAGCAGTTGGGGTGCTCACATGCGCGTCCCCATGCGCCTGCACGCTGGTGTCTCTGGGAGAGACTGGCAGGAGGGCAAGCCTGGAGAGGCCGGTAGATGCATTGCTTTCAAGAAAAGGCAGAATTCGCTTTCTCCCTCCACCAGTGTGTGCGTGTCCTCTCCCTTCAATGTCTCGGCCAATAGCTAATCTTTTCACTTGTCCCTCTGGAAAGGGAGTCACATCTCGCAGTAGCCGTAGGCTAGACCACTCGGGACACGGTGTCATTTCGGCTCTCTGGGGGCTGTGGGTTTTGACTCCCGTGTGCACTGCTCGTGTTTGCTGGTTGGGGACCAGCCTCCAGGTTTTCCCTTGGTGCACATGGACCCTCATCAGCACTGTCATCTGGGCTGCAGATATTTGGAGCAGAGATGCCCTTTGTCTCTAAGCTGCGTCCATCGGTGGTTCACGGAAGGTTCTCGTGTCTGTGGGGTTTCTTCCGCTCAGAGACCCGTCTGATTGGTCTGACAGGTTACACAACCTCTCGGAACCTTTGCGAGAGGTGGATTTGACGAGGTTCCTGGCAGGCCGTGGTGTTCACAGGTGTGGGCTGGGCCTGCAGACCCCACCTGGGGCCCTGATCCTTGAATGCTTCCCCACCCATGGGCCACCCCCCTCAGCCATGAGTGAAGGGTGATGCTGCTGGGCACGGTGCAACCGCGTGTGAGGGCTGGGGCAGCTCACATCAGCCGAGTGTCCCATCGCTGGGCTTCTCAGAGGTCCACGTTGGGGAGCGAGAGGGCGTGGTTGCCTGGCGTGTGGAAGACAGCTTGGTGGTGGGCGAGCAGCTGTCATGCGCTCAGCTCATCTCCTTCCTGGAATGGAAGTCTTGAAACCCTCTATCTTTTTTTTTTTTTTTAAAGATATCGAACCTTCCTCCAAGCCTCACCCGCCTGTCGTGGGCAAAGTGACTCATCACAGCATCGAATTGTACTGGGATCTGGACAAGAAAGCCAAGCGCCAGGGGCCTCAGGAGCAGTGGTTCCGGTTCGCCATCGAGGAAGAAGACCCCAAAATGCACACTTTCGGCATCATTTACACGTAAGTGCGGCACTGAGTCGCTGAACCTCGCGCTTTGATTTCCTGATTAGCTGTGATGGTTTCTATTGTCTCGAAGAAGACGCGTTCTTGAAATTCAAGGAAAGAGTGAGTCAGTGCATGTGCATGCTGCTCCTTAGGAATGATAATAACTTTGAAAAATAAGCATTAGCAGCAACTTGGGGAGGAAACCACCTTACGATCGAGAGCGCCTTAGGTGTCTGAAATAGTCTAATGGCGTATTGAGAAAAATCCACACCGAAGAGACAGAATTGACAGATGAAATTCAGCGAGGTTCCCGTCAGGCTGCACTGCTCACAGGCGTGGCTGGGGCCCCGCAGACCCCACCCGGGGCCCCTGATGCTTGGGCTCTCCCCACCCATGGGCCACCCCTCTTAGCCTCAACCAGCTGCTCCCACACCGGGTCTGTCTCGTGGCCTTTCCCTGGAAATTGTCCGGTTTCCACGCGACTGGTTCCGTCGGCCCCTGCAGACATCAGGCCGAGTGCTCCCGCCTGCAGAGGCCCTCAGTGGGAGCCGCGTGCCCGGGGTGGGGTGGGGGGCACGAGGGCTCGGCCGCTGCCTGAAAGGACATCCCTAAGATATGACAGATGTTCTTTGAACCAAAGAAAAATTGCATTATCCAAAACGTGCTCGCCATAGGAAAATAATTCCTGGCCTGGCTGATCAAAGCTGTGGTTTTAACCATGTCACATGTTTCTCTGTTGACGCGTTTCCACCCGCCAGCCTGCACGAGGGGGACGTCAGAGCAGGTCTGTGGAGGAGGAGGGCGTGTGGCTGTCCTGGGCAACCCTTCCCTCCCCCCTGAGTGTCCCCTCTACGGGGCGGCCAGGTGGAGAGTGGCCGCGAGCACCAGCCCCGCACGTGTCCCCTGGGTGGTGGCATCTCCCTGCCCTGCGTTCTCCCGCCCTGGGGGTGCGCTTGGACCGGCCTGGCCTGGCTGGGGTGGAGAAACGCCTGTGGTCCCTCGCAGAAGCAGCCGCGCACCCTGGACACTAGGTGGCAGGATGGGACTGTCCATCCCGACCTCGTCTGCTTCCTCCTGTCAGCTTCTCTAGGAAGCGTTGACGCTAGCTGAGCCTCTCTGTATAGAAGCGTTTCTCTGGAACATCTGACCTTGGGGGTGTGGATTTCCCGTCTCCTCCTGACCTAGTGTCCATCCACGTCGGCCACCAGCCAGTCTGGAATTGATGTCCTGCTGCTCTGGGCTCCCTCCTCAGCGCCAGTGGCCTGGTTTTGTGGGCTCAGCCCCTTTGATCCCCCCGTTAACCTGCTGTGTCTCCTTACAGGGGCGCCGACTAACGCCATCTGCTCACTAGTGCGCCGCTGCCCCAGGGCCCCGACCCAGCACACCGGCAAGAGCATGGGTGGGGCGTCCCCGGTCCTGCCCCTGCCCCTTCTCGCCCTCTGTCTGCAGCTCCTTGCCCGCTGGCCTTTCCTCTGCCCTCGTCTTCAGCGGTTCCCTGTGGCTTGGAGGACGAAGGTCAGGCTCCTTAGACTCTGCTCAGGCTCCGTGCTCGGAGGCTCCATGTCCTCCAGCCCCACACGGCCTTGCCCTGCCTTGTCTGCGGAGGGCCCTGCAGGCGGCTGGGAAGTGGTCACTTCACGCCGAGAGCCCAGCCTTCAGCAGGGCACTGTCCGGGGCCTTCGTGGCCCTCCCTGCAACAGAGTCACTGCTTGTCTGACGGGGAGTTCAGGACGGGGATCTGGGAGGTCGTCTGGGTTTCTCAGAGGAACCAGAGGCTGCTCTTCCAGCTGCCGCCCGGGCTGCTCTCCAGCCTCGCCCGTGGGTGGCTGCTGCTGGGCTGTGAGGGTGGGCGTGGCCGTTTAATCGTTGGGTTGGCATCAGATGCCCACCCGGCCCAGGGCTGGAGCCGTGTTGTCAGGGGACTTGAACCAGCCACGGGCTGGCTCGGCACCGTCGCGCGCCCGCCAACTCTTGGCCGCGCCTGGCGGGAAGGGGCCCTGCGGAGCTGAGCTGCGTGGAATGAGAGGGATGGACTGAATACATGTTTAGGTTGCATGTGAGCCCCAGAGAGTGCGTCTGGCCTCAGGAGAGCTCTGCCGAGGAGGAAAGAAAATTGTAGGACAGAAAATGGAGGGGCAGTGGCCGGGGAGGCCTGAGGTGCAGGGGAGTCCACGGGGGAGGCGGGGCTGGCGGGAGGTGAAGCTGGGGGAGGCCTCCGAGGGGGACAGCAGAGGCGTGACCACCCCAGCCAAGGCCAGCCCCGGACTGGAGACGGATGTCGCGTCCCCCCGCTCTTCCGCTGCCTGGTGTGGGGGTGTCGGTAGCTCACTGGTGTCCCGTCTCCAGGGGGTACGCGACCAAGCACGTGGTGGAGGGCCTGGAGCCACGGACTCCGTACCGGTTTCGACTGAAGGTCACCAGCCCCTCCGGAGAATTCGACTACAGCCCCGTGGTGGCCGTGTCCACGACCAGTGAGTATGGCCTTACGGGCGCCGCTGCGGAGGACAAGAGGGGGCGAGTCGACGCTGCCCTTGGGGGGCTTCCCTGGAAAGCAGAGACGACCGTTTCTTCCAGACAGTGATGATGTTGCTCCCCAGGGGACCTGGCAGGGGCCTGCTTGCCCTCGGCAAGCGGGGGCTGTTCGCTGTGCCGGGACCGCCCTGCCCCGCGTCCCCTCTCCTTGGGAGCCGGGGGGCACGGGTGCAGGCTGAGCACTCGCCCCTCCTGGAGCCGGGGGCTGCCTGGGGTCCTCAGGAGCTGGACCAGGTCTCGCCACGCTCTGTCTGCCTGGACGCCCCCACGTGCGCGTCTTGGTCCTGGGGCTGCTGTGGGGCAGGCAGGACCCTCTGCCGCCCGGGTGAGGGGGGGGCGTGCATCTGCTTGGACGTGGGGGCTCGAGGCTACCGCCCCAACCCACTCCCTTTGCCCAGGTCAGGTTCAGGGGTGCAGCTACTTCTTGCGATCATGGTGGAGGCATGTGAGGCAAAGATTAGCATGGGCGGAGCTGTGCTTCCGGCCCACAGAGGTCTTGCCTTTGTGAGTCAAGCGCTGTCCGGCGCGGCGTAGCTTTGACCGGCACATGTATTTCTTGTGGCTTTCAGCTGTGTCCGTGAAGCATTGATTCATGGGAGCCTGGGTGCGGGATACAGATGATTTGGATCTAGAGTTAGCCTGGAGTGTCTACACCCTAGCACATCCCCTGCATCTCGCTGGACACGATTTGGCTCTGAAAGGGGGTCAGCTGCTGTGAGCTGGCAGAGGCTCCCCACTCAGTGGGCCGGCAGAGAATGAAAAGGCCCAGAGGCAGAACTCTGAGGAGGAGGGAGGCCGAGTTCCCGCCATGTCAGCTGGGAGACTGTCTCCTTCCCACAGTGGGGAGTCTGCCTGCACCAGCCAGGAGGGGCCAGCGGGGTGCAGTCCAACCCTGGGGCTGCCAGGGCCGAGCTCTTGACCTTGTCCGTGTGCGTGGATGGCGTTGGTGAGCCGCGTGGAGCTCAGCTGGGAAGGCAGAGGCCATCTTTGTAGGGACAGGGCTGTGCCTTCCCCTGCAGCTGCTTCCAGAGGCCACCAGGGTCCCCTGGTCTCCTGGGCCAGCGGGCCAAGGCATTTTCCACTGAAGTCTGTGACTTCCATGGGACACGGCCTCCTGTGGGGCCAGAGGCGCTGTGAGGCCCCTGTCTACCCAGAGCCTCTCCCTGCCAGTCACAGCAGGAGGCTCTGAGCCTCTGACCTGTCCCGAATGCTGAGGCCCCAGAGCTCTCCCTGCTGCCCCCTTAGGCTGTTGACACGTTTATGGTACCCAAAGCAGACCCAAGCAAGGAGGCAGAGGATTCTACACAAAGAATTAAAACTGCAGCCTCATGCCAGAGAGGCGGGGCTGCTGCAGGGAGCGGTGATTTGCATGGGGCCTGCAAGTGTTTTAATGGATCACGAAAGCAAATATTTTGCTTGAAGAAAGGTGCTCGGCCTGTTTTTTCTTCCTGCCCAGGTAAAGTACACGAGATGCTTGCTTAAATGAGGCATGCAATTTTAATCAGCTGGGTTCTTAAAAAGAAAGAAAAACAGCTGCTGCTCATTAATTGGCAAATATCCTCTCCAATGCGCTCACCGCTTGTCGCTGCTCCTGATAGAGACCTGCACAGCCTAAGCCTGGGCCTGCGGCTCGCCACCCTCCCGGGCCCCTGAGCGGGCGCTTCCAGACTCCGCCCGGCCCTGGCCTGCTGCAAGGGCCCCGTGTGGGCCTGCCCAGTCCTTGTCGCTGCAAGACGGGGGTGAACATTAGAAAAAACACACCCACATGGGCAAGTCCTGCCTGTCACACTGCTGGAGGGTGACCCCTCAGCCAGCCCCATAATACCCTGCAGGATTTGGGGGCGGGCAGAGTAGAGTTCCCTCTCTGCTGCCTGACCCTGCCCATGTGGGGAGCGCGGCTGCCTGCGCCAGCACCAAGCAGCTCTTCACTTTTCTGTTTCTCTACCAAGTTCCTATAAATTGCACAGCTTTTCTGAGCCTCTGTGCAACCCCTTTTGGTGGGGTGGGGACCCTCCCTGCCTTTTTGCCTTCCTATTGGTGGCCCAGGAGGGGTGAATGAGTAATGCTGAGAAAGTGCTTTCAGATCCCAAATGAAGCTGCGGCTTCCTGTGGCTGAGCCAGCAGGCTGGGTGGTGAGCGCTGCTGTTGTCCCTGGGTCTTCCTCGGGATGCTCGTGGTCCTCAGAATAAGCTGTGAGGGCGCGAGTTACCTCTTGCAGGAGCTGCAGCACGTCATGTGTTTATCTGAATCACATCCTAACATCGAAACATCCGGGTCTTTGTGCCTCAGTTCCAGACTCCCAGCTGGAGGTGGAGTGACTGGGTCTCCCTGTGTCTCAGAGTGTCCCGATGGGGTGGCTAGAGTTGCCCCGTGGGGGAGCGGAGCCCCCACTGGGCTGGGCAGGGATGAAGGAGGGCGGTGCCTAGTGTCCTGGAGAGGTGACGGTGCCTAGGAAGCTGCTGGGGATCCCCCCTTTCATCTTGTAGGGATGGGCGGGGAGGTCAGATCTACTTATTTGAGGTGAATGCTTGGCTGGGAATTTAATCAGCACAAGCGCAGCCGGTGAGCGGCAGGCAGGTGCCTCGCTCCAGGGGGGCTGCAGCGCACGGGACCCCTCATGCCTGGATGACTCCGATCAACTCACTCGACCTTTCTGGGCCTCCGATTGTGGCCTGAGGAGACTCTGAAAAGCACAGTCACGTGCTGGATGCTAGGATGTGAGTCGGGGGTGTCAGATTTAAAGTGTGGTGGAAGTGAGGTGAGCTGCTTTGTCCTTCTAGATGATTCCATGCCAGGTACCTGTTTTCCTGTATTTTTGTGGCAGTGGGAACTTGACGGTCATGGACGTGCGGGCTGTTTGGGGGGTGACAGACCCTCCCCCAAGCAGCCCTCCCCCCTCCCCAGGAAGCAGGAGGGAGAGGAGCTTTCCCTTTGTCCCTGAGCCGTGCTGGGCCCCCCGAAAGGTCAGTGAGTCCACATTCCTCTAGCCCAGGGTTTCTCCACCTTGGTGCTTTGGACCATCAAAAATACCACTGGACGTTTCCAGTGTCCCCTGGGAGGGGATGCCCTGCCCCTCCCTGCTCCCGGGTGGCCCCTGGGCTGGACGAGCCCTCCCTGGGGGCGGGGTCCACGGCGGGCCTGGGCCTTTGACAGTTTATTATGATACTTTGATTTGCGGCTTTTGGTCTCAGCATGTGTGGGATGATGGAAAGGAAGCATCACGTGCTTCAAAAGCTTTCGGAGACTGGTGCGCTCTAGCAGGCGAAGCTGTTATTTCAAAACAATTTTGACTCGGCTGGCGTTTACTCTGCCCAGAGAAGCAGAAGGGTCTCGGCCAAGTCCCTTCGGTGGTGACCCCTTCCCGCCTCGCCCAGCGGGGCCCCGGGACACGGGCCCAGGGCTTCTCCCCAGGGACTGGGCAAAAGCAGGATCGGGGAATTTTTTTTTTCTTTTAGATTTTAGAGCTGGCGATTCCATCATTCTTTGTTAAGTTTTGTTCTTTAGTCATGTAAAATAAAACATGCCCAACATCAGAGGCTGGAACTACTGGCGCCTCTGTCCTGATCCCTCTTGATTCCTACCATGAACCCATCTTTCAGATTTGGATTTCAAAATACGCCTGACCTTGCTCCTGTAGCTCTTCAGCTCGCGCCTTGTGTGCAGAGTAAGGGTCCCGGGGTGTAAATGATGCTGCAGTGAGGAGCCAAGGGCCCTCCAGCCCCACCGCCCACCCACCCCTGCCCCCGTCCTCCCACCCCGCCCTGTCTCCCCCGCCTTCCTTCCTGCCTCCTCCTGCCCTTCCTTTCTGCAAAAGGGGGTGCGACTTCCCGTCTGGCGAGAGCTCTTTCTAAGGAGCCCAGGGGTGGGTGCGGCCCGGAGAAAGCCCGCGGTGCTGTGCAGGAAGACAGGGCGGCGGGCATGTCCTTTCAGCGTTCGGAATGAAGCTGTTCTGAACGTGGGTGCTTGGTGTGATGGTGAGAGAGGAGCGCGGGGTCAAGGCCCCTCTGGACCCCCAAGTGCCCAGCACAAGACCCGGCACGTCCCTTACTGAGTGAATAATTGTTGAACAAATGAAGGGGAGACCTGGGAGACGCCTACAGCCAGGGGCTGTAGCTCACAAGCCTCGGGGTCAGGAGGGTGTGGGGGCAGAGGAGGGGGGCTGCCCTCCGGGCCTGTGGGTGCCCTGCAGGCCCCACGGGCTGGCCAGGCAGGTGCTGTCCCAGCGCCTGCTGTGTGTCTCGTGGCACCCGCAGCATCGTCATGCACAAGATCAGCAAGTCGCAGTGTGGGGCAGATGAGCGTGGGGGCGCCAGTGCCGCCCGGTTCCCGCTCTCACCTCAGCTGTTTCCACCCTGGGGACCGGGGGCCCTTCCTCGGGGTTCATGCCCCGTCCGAGGGCCGCCTCCTTTCTGGCCCTTCCGGCTGTCTCTTTGCCACTTGGGTCCCGGCTCCTCTGTCCCCACAGGCCCCTGCCCGGCCTGTGCGCGACCCACTGGCCCCCCGCGCAGAGGGACAGGGCCGACCGGGCCGACGGGCGCGGCTTTCCCGGGGCGAGCCGACCTCGGGCTCGGAAATGCAGGAGCAGTTTGTCCTTTTATTGCTCGTTTGTGGCTCCAGCAGTCCAGTGACTGGCAAATAAAACCGCTCCGTGGGACAGGCCCGGAGCCTCTCCCACTGGTGAGAGATGTTTGTGAAGCCCGATGACATCGGGACGGTTATTCTCAAAGGTCAACATAGCTCGACTCAAGTGCCTCCCTAATGTGAAGACACCCCGAGTCTTCAGGGCCGGCCCAGAGCCGAGCTCCGCCCGCGTGGAGAGGCCCTTGCTGGGCCAGGGTGGGGGGCGCCAGGGGCACCTGCCACCCCAGGCCCTACGGGCGAGGCGGGGGCTCCTCCACTCTCTTGGGCGCCGACGCGTCCGTCTGCTTCCCCAGGAGAGCCCATCAGCAGCGAGCACTTCCACCGGGCGGTCAGCGTCCACGACGAGGATTTGCTGGTCCAGATACTGCAAGGAGGGTGAGCGGCGCCGCAGGCCTGTTTTCTCCTTCCCGCCGCCTCCCGACTGCGGGGGGAGGCGCAGGGCAGCGTTGTGCCCCCCGAATTCCCGTCCTTAGAGACAGGCTCCTGAACGATGCCGTGAGTCCTGCACACCCCGTCGGAGGGTCGTCCAGCCCCACGCGGGGGCCGGGCACGGTGGAGGTGCAATGACGTCGCAGAAGGGAGTCCCGAGTCCGGGCCTCGTGTTTGCTTCCCAGAAGGAGGTTCTGCCTCTTGCGCCTAGGGACGGACGTCGCCCCAGGGCCCGGGTCTATTTAACCGACGATGAAACGAAGGAGTCGCTCCATCGGTTCTTCCTGATTCAGAGGCTGGAGGACCCCTGGGACTCGGGCCAGCACGGGCGCTGCAGGGGCGCCGCAGGGGGGCAATGGAGCAGACGCCGTGGCTGGGCTTTTCCTAGGATCCACAGTCTGATCGCCTCTGGCGACAAGTCGTTGCCCAGTGGGGTGCTGTAGTCAGAGACAGCACCCACAAAAAGCCTGAGCTGCTGAGCTGACTGCCAGGGCTCCGCTGTGCTTGGGCCATGGTGCCCTGCGCCCCCTGGGGGAGGTGAGACTCAGAGGGAAGGTGGGGCGCCCGGCAGTGGGGCGCCTGCTCGGGGGCGTGGAGGTGCGGGTGTCCCCCCAGCGCTCTTCAGCGGGGTTGTCGTGCGTGCTGGTTTCGAGTCAAAGGCAGGGCCTGTTGGAAGTGAGCGGACAGCAGTTCCCTCCTTTCCTCTTGTGAATCCAGATCTTTAAAAATACCAGGTAGCGCGGCCTGAGACAATGAAAAGTCAATGGCCCAGGAGAAACTGGAATTTTCAGGAAATGTACTGTTTTAGCCACCTGCGCCCACAAGAGGGACAGGTGGGTGTGCAGGCCCTGCCGGGCGGGGTCACGGCTCTGTTTCTCCCCAGCAACATCCAGGTGGACGTCCCCAACAAGTTCGGCTTCACCGCGCTGATGGTCGCCGCCCAGAAGGGCTACACCAGGTGGGCACGGCTGCTGGCCCCGAGCCGCCGGCCATTCACGGCTCCCGGGGGCTCGCAGGGGGGTGGGAGGGGCCCTGGTGGAGCCTGGCTGCTTCTCTTTCCAAAACGGCACCCCAGAAGGCTGACCGAGCCCTCAGCTGTGCTGAAGTTACAGAAAGATGCGGGAGAGGAAACAAAAATGGGGAATCCTGTGGCCAGAAAGAGCGGCAACCACTTCATGGTACTTTTTGACCTATTTGGTATGTTGCTGGGAAAACTAGTTATTGGAATTTGAATTTCCTTTAAAAAAGAAAGGGTTGGGGTTTGTTGCTGGTGAGCAACCTTCCCTGGCTGCTTGGTTTAGGCGTCCTTTCTGCTGACACTCTGTGGGATGCAGTTCTCTGGAGATAAGCATCAATCTAAGTAGCTTATTTAGATATTTTATATATATATATATATATATATATATATATGTATAGGTGTTCTATATAATGTAAATATTAATCCTATTTTTATTTTAACTACTAAAATGCCATTTTGACAATAATGGAAACGAAGCCCCCTGACAGCTGCATTTGCCTTCGTGTCCTTTAGGCTGGTGAAAATCCTCGTTTCCAACGGCACAGACGTGAATCTGAAGAATGGAAGTGGCAAGGACAGGTGGGTGGGTGGTGGCACGGGCCCGGAAGGGTGCGTCTGTGCCCATAGGCTGCACGGCCATGCTTGTGCGAGGGTTTTTGATTTAACCCAACTGTCTGACCAGTTTCTCTCGACAGAACGGAGAGGTGAATTGGCCGCAAAGCAAAGGTGGTGATGACGAAAGTTGACTGTCGAAGGGCAGTCTGGGGGAATCTGATGCTATGTGCACCCCGTCCCTAGACCCGTGCCCAAGCCACCAGCTGCTCAGCCATGGCAGTTGCTAGAATAGTTGCTACCTGCTCTGGGCATTTGCTTCTAGGTACCGCGGTCCGTCCCTGGACCTCCCTTGAGGCTGTCACTGCATTTCTGCCTATTCTGCAAGTAAGCATCTTATGTCTCTAAAGACACAAACAGCTCTGACCAAAGAACTTCCCAGAAGTTCCAGGAAAAGTTGATAAAGAGAGCCTGACGGGGAACCCACATTTGGAGATGACAGAGTGTTTTTGAGAGAATGAAAGCAATCACTAATCTAGCAGTTAGGCCTAGTTAGCCAATTCAGTCGAATCAGGGACTTCACTGATTGGCGACAGGACAGGCCTGAACTGGGCACCTGGCCCCACGGTAAACAGAATGCAAAGGCTGTGCTCAGGGAGCCCCTCGCCACCCCTGCCCTGCGCAGGGGCTCTGCCCTGCCAGCCCCGCTCCGAGGAGCTGCTGAAACGACAGAGAAACTTCGGCTTCTCAGACCCCAGAGGGCCTCCTGCACCCTCTCCAGACGCTGTGCTGGGCGAGAGGTTAACTAGCAGTTGAAAAAATTACTTGTAAGTATAAAAATGTAGTTTTCTACTCCAGATGTTTGCAAAAGGAATAATGACAGTTTAGGGGCCTCCCTGGTGGCACAAGGGGTTAAGAACCGCACTATGAAGCTGTCCGCTGCCTCTGCAGCATGAGTTCAATCCCCAGCCAGGGAGCAACCCACATGGTGCAGCAGACCTCTGCTGCACCTCTCCTGTCTCCCCGCTGCTCCCCTCAGCAGTGGAGTTCAGAGATCCACCTGTTCTGCTCCCCACTCTGTCTCTGGTGAGTCCTCTCACACCCCGCATCTCTGGTCTGTACCCCAGCTCTTGTATGCATAAATAAATAAATCTTTAACAAAAAAAAAAAATAATGGCAGTTTGAAAAAAGAAAAACATTTAGAGGTAGGAAAAGGGAAGAATTAAAAGTAAGGTAGAAATTGATTAGTTCAAAAATATCATCAGAGTTGCCTCTTAAACATCCAGGCAGTAAAAAGGACCGAATTCTCGCAAGTCTGAGAGTAAATTAGAAGTTTCAAAGTGTGTAGCTGATGGTTCTAGAGGCCGTGTAAACCGGAGAGGAAGCAGCTGCTTCTGTAGCAGTAAATCTGACAAGTTTGTGGGTGTAGCTATTTTTATGACAAAATTTAAATCATCAAAATCAACCCAAGAAACATAAAATCTGAAATAACCAATATCCGCATAAGAAATGAGAACGTGTGTTACGGGGCCCCCCAGTCCAGTCGGGGGCTGGCTGTGCCACCAGCGAGCTTGCTTAGGGTCCCTGGAATCATTCTTGGTGCTGACAGTTCCCCTTGGAAAATCCGCAGCAATGTCCCCGCAGTCAAATCCTGATTCCTCTATGGTTGCGGGGAGAGTGCGCGGCTGTGGGCAGGTCACTAAAGCTCTCTGTACCTCAATTTCCCCATCTCACGCGAAGAGATAATACCAGTCCTGACAGACTCATGGGCACTTAATGAGTTTCATGTATCACGACACCTGGCACGCGGTGACAGCGAGTTCCATGTTATTTTATGATCGGCATTTTGGAAGGCTCATCAGCTTGGTAAGGGTTGAGAGGAGGCTTAAGAGACAGGGTTCATTTCTTGCAGAATCCAAGAGAACCAACTTTCAAATATTTGGACTTAAGGTGGAGGCTCAAGAAAGTGTACAGACATGAAGAAAGAAGAGATTATCTTAAAGAATGGCACTAGCCAGTCAGTAAATACAACGGGCGAAACAAACTAGCATAAAAAATAAAATATACAAGAAAACGTTAGAAACTTGTATTAAAAACCTATGAAAATGTACTGAGATAACAAAGATTTAAAAAATATATATGCCACAATGACAACGATTGAGTACAGTACTTTTTATTTTGTCCCAAGTTAATATACAGAATCAGTGTGGGCTTAACTGGAATTTTTCTTGGGAACCTGTCAAAATGATTTTGTAATTTGCCTGGAATAAGATATAGATGATAGCAGGTAATTAAACTTTCTTGAAGAAGAATGTGGATTTGCTTTGACAATTTTTAAAGCACCTTATCAAGTGATAGTGACCAAAGTAGAAGGATAATTGGGGAAAAGGAGAAAAGGAAGGAAAATGCAGTCTTGAAACAGACCCTCATATGCCCGAACCTCGCGTGTGGTCACGGGAAGAGGCACAGCGCTGAGGAAGATGTCGGAAGAACAGACTACTCGAAGGCAACAATTTAAGCTAAGTTCTGATCTGACAGCATGTACCCAAACAAATTCCAGATCAACTAGATGTAAGTGCAAAAAGAAAAACCAGAAAAAAAAAGGACCAGAAAATACAGTATGTGACTCTGATCTTACAATGGGAAAGACAAACGCATTGAAAGAAATCACCAAAGAAAAGATTGAGCAGTGACACATTTTTAATGACTTGATTCCACAGTTAAGGACATTCTGGGGAAATATTTGCCAACATAGTAAGGAAAATAGCTGGTCTCTTGAATAGGTAGAAGATACCTCCTTCCCCCCAAACCCCCGCCCCCCAAAAATCAAAACCAACTATACACTTGAAAAATAGCATTTTTTCCAAGAGCATTCATAGTAGAATACATTAAAAAAGTTGAAGGTGAAAAAGGTTTAGCCTTGTTAGTAATGAAGATTAGAAACTTTCAGGGATCATGCTTTGGTGGATTTGGAAGTTAATAGCAGGGGTGCGCCGCTGTGGCCCCACGGTGAAGGGGGTGAGTTAGATCCAGGGTTTCAGCTGGATTCAATTCCGGTGACGTTTGCGCAGGGACGCCTCAGCTGGTGCTGTGGCTTCGGTGGGGCACTTCCATCGGGGCCCACCGTGAGGGTGGTCTCCCCACAGCTGGCGACGGGGCTCGGTGAGTGGGTTAGGGTGTGGCCCTCGGCCTCCTTCGTAAGGAGAATTTCCCATAGCAATGAGGAAATAATGGGTGGGGTAGCCCTCTGGCCGCCGTGTGAGTGTCCCTCCTCACCGGCCTTCATCAACGTGCTCAGCCTCCCCCCGGGATCTGTCTGAATTGCCGCCTATTGAATTGGGAGTTGCGAAAATGGGATTTCTGAATTTCATGATTTATTTTTACTAGCTGTGGGGAAAAAAGACCTTTCCCTCATCAGCTGAGGATGCTACTTCTCCTGTAAAGACAGAGTAAATGTTTAACAATTTTCTTGAAATACCAACATTCAGAGTAAGGAGTTGGCTTGGTAGTTCCCTCAGATAGTGTCAAATGGGAATTGTGTTTCCCTTTCCTTTCAAATAGCATCACGGCTCTAGGTCACGCAATCACAGTGACTCTTCACTTTTAACACAGGTAAAACTCGCGCGCCACAAAATCTACTCCCTTAACATGTGCAACTGGCATTTCATTTTCCAGTACATTAACAAAGTTGCAGCTGTTTCTACTAATTCCAGAACATTCCATCCACTCGGAAGGAAGGAAGCCCTCTACCCATTAGCAGGCTCTCCCACGCCTTTCCCCCCAGCTCCTGGCATCCGCAGCCTGTTCGTGGACAGGACAGTTCACATAGACGCAGTCACAGCAGAAGTGGCTCGTGCGTCTGGCGTCTTGTATTTGACACAGCTTTTTTTTTTTTTTAAAGATTGATTTATTTATGCATACAAGAACTGGCATCCAGGCCAGAGTTGCGGGGGGTGAGAGGATTCACCAGGGACAGAGTGGGGAACAGAACAGGCAGACTGACTGAAGTACACTGCTGAGGGGAGCAGCGGGCGAGTCAGGCGAGGTCTGCTGCACCATGTGGGTTGCTCCCTGGCTGGGGATTGAACTCATGCTGCAGCGGCTGCAGGTAGCTTCATAGGTTGTGTCTTAACCCCTTGCACCACCAGGGAGGCCCTTGACACAGCTTTTTAAGGTTCATCCATGTGGCAGCCTGTGTTAGTGCCTGAGTCCTCAGTGTCAACCTGAGGCTTCAATTTTATTGATAGGTTCTTGGGAACTGCAGCTGAGCAAGAGATTGACTAACAGGAGCCAGGCCTGGAGTAGCATTGGTTTGTTCTTTGTCAATGAAATTTAATGTTTTTTTTTTAAATTTTTTTAAAGATTTATTTATTTATGCATACAAGAACTGGGGTCCAGGCCAGAGGTGTGGGGGAGGTGAGAGAATTCCCCAGAGACAGAGCCCGGAACAGAACAGGCAGATCGACTGAAACACACTGCGGAGGGGAGCAGCGGGGAGTCAGGAGAGGTCTGCTGCACCTTGTGGGTAGCTCCCTGGCCGGGGATCCAACTCGTGCTGCAGTGGCTGTGGACATCTTCATAGGTTGTGTCCCAACCCAACCCAACCCCTTGTGCCACCAGGGAGGCCCTAAATTTAGTTTTTCTTCTCAATGTTATCGTGAAATGATGTTGAACCAAACATTGTTGCTTGAGGAGCTGGCCTACTCCATTTCCATGGCTGAATAATAATCCAGGTGTGCTAGACCACGTTTTGTCTAGGTGTGTTTCCTATTGTCTCTAAGTCATTTTTAAGGCTTTCCCACTCCAATTAGGCTTCTCTTGGGTAAGCCTGGGAGGGTGAGAGAGGGCCTGAGTCTGCAGACGGCCCTGATCGCCCAGCGCCCCTGCTGTGTTGCAGTTTGATGCTGGCGTGCTACGCCGGCCACCTGGACGTGGTGAAGTACCTCCGCTGCCACGGCGCCTCCTGGGAGACGCGCGACCTGGGCGGCTGCACGGCTCTGCACTGGGCTGCGGACGGGGGCCACTGCAATGTGATCGAGTGGATGATCCAGGACGGCTGTGAGGTAGGGTCCCCGGCCACGCTGCCTGCTGGGCCGGGAGGGCCTCCCGTGGGCACCTCCACAGGTGGCTTTGATTAGGTGAACTGAGTTGCTGGAGAACTTTCTGGGAATTCTCAGCATGGAGGTCCCCACAGCCTTGGGGAAAAAAGACCACTGGGCACTCCATGAGGCCGCAGACTGTCCCGGGGCCCATCTGGTCTGGGGAAACCACAGTGTTGACTGCTGGCTCCTGCTGTTTCTCCCACGGTGTCTCTTCTGCCCCACCCGCCCGCTGAATTCTGGGGGGCACCTACGCCAGGCGTTTTCTTGGGTGCCGCTCCTTGGCTTTGAGAATCCGATGCCTGATTCTCTTGGTTTGCTTTCAAGGTTGGTCATGATACCTTTCCAGAGCGTGAGTGGGCCGTGTCAGGGTTAGGGCACGTCGGTGCTTAGTGTCTCCACCTTGAAGCAGGCCCCTGCTCGTTTGTGATTCCACGTGACCAGAATGTGCACGTGAGACTCAGCAAAGAGAAGCAGAGTTGCTGGGACGTCTCTGAGTAACTGAGGATGGGCAGTAGCGTTCGCTCAGTTCTCGTAACGGCCGGTGACTTTGAAAACTTTAGCCCGAGGTGTCAAAGGAGCAAAACAAAAACGGAAGCCCTGGAAACAAGGCGTGACCGGCACGATGCTGCCGGCTTGTGCTCACAGGCGGTGCTGGGTGGCGAGCACGTAAATCCACGCCTGGGCGGCAGTCTCTCCTGGAACACGTCGGCAGATTCGTCCTGGTCTGTCTCTGAGGCGTGAGGCGGGAAAGCAAGGCCTAAGCGGGGGTCTCACCACCTGCTGCTGCTTCAGAGGGTGGAGCAAAGGGCCCCAGATGTGAACGTCTGTTAGGATAACGCCTATTTATTTTATGTCCTGTGTTCTTTGTTTTGAAGCTGTAAGGAGGTCAGGCGGGTGAGCCTTGGGCCTCGTGGTGGTCCGGGCCCCTGCCTTGTGTGGGGCAGCCACCCCCAGTCTGGTTTACGACGAGCTGCGCTCGTGCTGTGGAGTCCTTGAGGGCTGGGAAGGAGGCCCTTGCCGAAGGGGCGTGTTCTCCACCTGGACACGGGCCCTGGGCCTCTGGGAATGGGCTCTCGGGGCCTCGGGGACAAGCACACTCCCTCAGGGCGGTTTCCACCTTTCTCTCTCCCACTGGAGATACATGAATGTGCCACTGATGATTCACATGTGGCTGGCAGGTGGGGAGGGGAGGCTGCCCTGTGACGAGGCTCAGTCGGGAGAACCTTGCATGGCCGTCTGCAGGCTGGGATGCGTGTGCTGGATCTGGCTGCTTCTGCATTTGCTCTACCTCTGGGTCTCCCACCTAAAAGCCACAGGTGCTTTCAGTTAAAGGGCACAAGCATCTAAGTATCTATTAACAGGTTAGTCAAGAAAGGATTTAAAAGTGCTTCAAAGGCGGGCCTCCCCGGTGGCGCAGTGGTTGGGCGCTGGGTTGCCGGGCTGGCCACGGCCTCTGCGGCGCCGGTTCGTTCCCCGGCTGCTCCCTGGCCGCTGCGGGGGGGGGGGGTCCCGCGTGGTGCGTGGACCCCCCCTTGCCGCCCGCTGCTCCCCCAGCGGCGTGCCTCGGTCCTTCTGCCTGCTCTGCTCCCCGCTCTGGCTCGGGGTTCTCTCGCCCTCCCGCGCTTCTGACTGTGCCCAGTGCATGCATGGATAAACGAACGGACAGATAAATAAATAAATAAAAATACATGCCTCTTTGAGGAAAAAAAATAGATAAAACTTCCTATTTCCTAACCTTGATTAAAAAAAAAAAAGTGCTTCAAAGGCACTTTAAAGTAAATAGAGCAAACTTTAAAAAACTGGTGAGGTAAGTCAGACAAGAGAAAATAAGGCAGGCGCCCAGGAGTGATCATTTGCATTTTTTCTCATCGTTGAACCATTTGAACAGAACACAGAGATGTGGGGGGCCCCTGGGGCCTCTGCGCCCTGGCGGCGAGGCCAGCGCAGCTTCTCACTGTGTGTGAATGGCAGCTATCGGGGTCCCAGCTCCGGCCCAGCCCAGGGAGATGCCGTCTGCCCTCGGGCGCCCGCTGAGGATGCGCCTCCTGCAGGGCTGCGTGGCCTTGGAGCAGCAGGGCCGGGCTCAGGCAGGTTTCCTCTGGCATCACAGGTGGACGTGGTGGACACGGGCTCGGGATGGACCCCGCTCATGAGAGTCTCCGCTGTCTCGGGAAACCAGCGGGTGGCCTCGCTGCTGATTGAGGCTGGAGCCGACGTGAACATGAGGGACAAGGACGGGAAGACGCCCCTGATGGTGAGTCCTCCGTCCCAGAGCCGCCAGGCCTTCTGCGTGGTGCAGCCAGAGCTGCTTCCCGGCCGGCTTGCAAAGGCCTGGCAGTGCCCTGTCATGGTTCTTTGTCTGTGGACAGCGATCCCTTTCCAGACCCCCAATTCCAGTGCCAGGTCCCTGTAGGACAGCACAGGCCTGTTAAAGCAGCTCTGCCCGCAAGCCGGAGGGCCTGGCCTGCCGTGTGCTCGTGTGGAGAAGGCAGCTCGGTGTGCGTCTCCGCGAGGCTGTCCTCCCTGCAGAGCGAGAGCCGCACTTCCAGCGCCGTGGCAGACCGAGGCCCAGGCAGCCCCGCCCGCTGCTGCTGGCACCGGCGCGCCCCTGCGGGCAGCTCACTGAGCCCCGACTCTCGTGTTCAGGTGGCTGTCTTGAATAACCACGAAGAGTTAGTCCAGTTACTTCTTGAGAAGGGGGCAGACGCAAGTATAAAGAATGAGGTAAAGAAGCCAGTCTCTCTCTGAGGTGCTCCCCTGGAGGGGAAGAAAGAACACACGGAAGATAACAAAGCTCCTTGTTTTCTCTTCCAGTTCGGCAAAGGTGTCCTCGAAATGGCCAGAGTCTTTGACAGACAGGTTGGAATGGTCTTTCCGCCTCTCAAGGCTGATTTACACTACTTAAAAGATGAAAACAAAAGAACACCACAAACACCCCAAACCTTGGATCCCAGTCACGTGTTTTTTGTTTACCTAGAATGTGATCTCCTTGCTGGAAGAAAGGAACAAGAAGCAAATGCCCGAGAAGTCTCTGGTCCGCTGACCGCCGTCCGCTGGTCTCCGAAGGCCCAGGGCCACAGGGCAGGGCCTGGCTGTCGAAGCAGAGAGATGCGGCTGCAGCCCAGGGGGCTATCGCCGGATTATTTATGTAGTCGAAGATTGACAGTGACTTTTGTAACCTACAGATCTACAACTGCTCCCATTTTGAAATACATCGTTTTACCTAAGTGCCACCGTGTCCTCACTGGGGCCATGGAACGTGCGTGTTTTCCTACACTTGTGTCTTTTGAGCTAGACATGAAATGAAGCATTTATGCACCAGAGCTGCTCGCACACAGGTCTCTTCCTTCTTCCCCGACCCCTGGCTGTCCCCCTTGTGTGTTCTCAGTTCCATCCTCCCTGCTCCAGGCTGTGCTGGGCTCCCTCCTGGGTGAACATCCTCCTGAAAGCCCAGGAGGCCAGGTGAAATGTTTTCTTCTCAACTGTTGGCCTCCTATGTAAGCACAAAATCGGTATTTCAGGACTCCCATTCTGCTCGATGCGGGGGTTGAGGGTCAGTCTCTCCTGGACAGACAGGTCTGAGCAGGTGTCTGTAGCTCTGTACCCTGACAGTGGAACCACCGGCTGACATTGCCCAGGGCGGTGCACTGAGTGTTGTCTTGACAGCAGAAAGGTTTTGATGATCGCATGGTTCGGAGTCAAGGAAACAAATGCAACTAGGCCTGCTGACAGGCTAGTCACAGCGTGGGGCACGCCGATTCAGCAGGAACACGGAAAAGCCAGCAAAGGAGTGAGCGAGGAGACCACGTGCGTTGTGTCTCCACCAGACACAAGCTGGGTAACTCGGCCCCAGGAGAGCACCTGCAAAGGTCTGCGTTGGAGCGGGGTTTTCTCGTGGGGGAAAGACCACTGGAAGCTTTGGGAGAAAGGCCCAGAGAGAAAGCACACACTTTTGTCGGTGTTGGCTGTTCTCAGCTTATCCCATGCAATGGATAGACAATCTACTGCAGGAGGTGGATTCGTGGGTCATAGTCCCTTAGCTGTTTTGTTAATGCTTCACTTTGTGAACAAATGCATGATCCTTTAAATTGGATAGATTAGGTTGCTTAAATCTCTCTCAAAATCAGATCGGAGTCACACAGTTCTAAAGCTCTACTTGAACTTGTGATCAAGGTTGACGCCCGCCTTCATTTCATTTCTCCCGTCTCTGCAGACAGCACTCACTAGCCCGCAGAGGCTGAGCTCAAACCCCCGATGACATCAAACTTGGAGACATCCTCCTGTCCTCGGAAGCCATGGCCATGCGCGGGAGCGGACTCTTCGGTTAATGGCACGTGAGTGGAGATGACTCCTCCCTCTCAGCAGAGGTTTTAAGAGTCTCCCTGCCTCAGTGGTGACCACTGGCCCAGGGCCCTGAGACAAGGGCCAAAGCTGTCTAGGATGTGAGGAAGAAATGATCTTTAATGTTGGAAGCCACTGAAACTTAAGAGTGGCTTGTTACTGCTGTGTGACAGCCACAGTGACAGCCCCTAAGGCCCGATCATGTATCTGTGTTTACTTTTTCACAGATGATGCCACCATCTTCCAGCTCCTGTTGTTTGCATCTTGTTTTATTCGAAGTTTTAGTCTCAGGAGAGGGTTTATATGGAATGTTATCAGATGCCCTTTCAGCGTCTATGGTAATTGGATTATGGCCTTCCCTTATGACCTATCGGTTTGGTGGCCGACATACAGCTTTCTTATATTGAATTATCCTTGTATTCCTGAGATGACCTTACCAGGCAAGTGGGCAGAAGGATGCTGTGTGCTCAACATGCTCCCTGTACTTACGTTTCATATGCGCTTTCCTTAATGAGATCAGATGGTGGATTATCTTGTGTTTCAATTTTCCCAAAGCAGCAGCTCATGGTTTTATTCTATTTTTTATGGTTAAAAGTTTTTTATTTGTACAAATTCATTCCTGCTATTCCCCCCCCCCCAGGTTTGTTTTTTGTATTATGTAGTTTTTATGGTGGATAGTAAATTCACTGATTTTCATCTTTGTTAATATGTGCGTTAGGGCTACAAACTTTCCTCTCAGCACAGCCTTATTTGTATTTCCCACAGGAGGTTTTCTAAATGTTCCCATTGAAAAGATTTAATTGGGATCTTTTTAAAACATAAACTTGTAGGTGTCAACTCAAACCTTCCCAACTGGGATCATCAAGTAGAAGGTAGGAGGGATGGATTTTCACAAGTGTCCCAGGTGAGTTCTTAGAGTTAAGGGGGATGAGAAACAGGTGTGTGTGTCATCACGTGTGCTATGACACATGTTTTGTTATTTGCTAGATAATCTGATTTGTCTTTGACTCCAGAACCACGACATTTTTGGGGGCCCTAGAATTGTTTTGCTCTTTTCAGTGCATTATACTTTTGAGAATTTGTGCCATCTGGAATTTGTTTGCTTCATTTTAATTATATATACCTAGATTTATATTTTTATGTTTACACATTATATATTAAAATGTTATATATTATGTGTACATGGGAACATAATTTTCTGGAGGCACTTTGAAAGAAGGCACATTCTGTATTTCTGGAGTGTCCCATTTGCTATATATCAATTTGATCAACAATATTCATGGTGTTTGTACATATTTGGTATGTATTTGTTTTGTCATTGGTGGAGAGTGGTAAGAAGAAAACCCCTTGTTACCATTCTGTGTATCTATCTTACTTGGTAGGGCATTCATTCTTTACGTATGTAGTGGGTGCGATTTAAAAATTTTCGATATCAATTACGCTTAGATTTTCATTCTGGTTAAGTCCGATATAAATGTTTTAACCTGCTTGCTTTTAAAATTTATTTTTTTGGTAAACAAGGTAAGTTTGAAATTTATTCTGATAAGTTATGTATTCATATTGTTCCATAAAACTGTTCCTCTCTCCCCCTCCCGCAACCCTCCCCCCTGCCATGCATGTGCAGAATCATCTTCTTCCCTTCTTGGCCGGTTACTGGATGCCTCCCCTGAACCCACCCCCACCGCCCACCATTCTTCTTAGCTCTTCTGTTATTCCAGACTTTCCATGTGCATCTACATGAGGCCCAGGATACATTTTTCTATAGCAGGAGTCCTCCCCCTTAATTGGTAACATCCCTAGCAATGAACGAGACACATCTTTACCTGTATACCATTTATTGGCTATAATATGCTTAATGAATTTTTCCATGGAAATAGCAGGTTGCATTTACCTGAAGAACCCCAATGCGTGTACAAAAGTGACAGACTGTAACATAACAAGGTACGTGGAAAAAATGAGCAAACCAAAGCATTATAAATGAATGAAGCACTATAAAATTAATGTACTGGTGTAGTAGCTACAACTGTACTGTGCTAAATCGCCCGTAGCCAGGTTTTAGAGTCACACGCACACATCCCAACAACGGACCTGATGGGAGGTAAGGAGAACTCAGCACCTGGCCCGGCCTCGCGCTCGTGAGGGCTTTTGTCTTTCTGGTTTCCTTTACTCTCCCTACCTAAGTACCTGCTCGCAGGCCGTGAACATAAACGTCATGGCACTTCTTTATAAAACTAAAATGATCACCTGATATCTAGTATCTTGTTTGGATTAAAATGTGCACAATTAAGAACTAAACAATTATGGGAGATGCACAGGGAACGTGCAAGATGTTTCTGGAAGATGATGGGGAAAACCAGGGTAGGTTACAGAGAATTCAATCTGAAAGGTCCTAATCGCATTGAGAACCACTTTGTGTTAAATTTTCTGGCTCAACAGTCATCCCAGGCTCTCACAACAACCTCACACGCAGCGTTTCTTCTCATCTTTCCCATAAGGAACAAGCTCTAAGTGGCTGGACTCTGAGCTGTCCTTGTCCTGAAGGTGAAGAGGGGATTTCCTTCATGAAAGGTAGGGACACTGCACACCCCACCTACAGGGAGGGGGGTGGCTTCTGGGAGATTCCTTACTGCACAGAAGTGGTTCTCAGCCTGGGGCTCGTGAATCTCTTAGTATGTTTTTTAAGCAGGATGAGTTTTCAAAAAGGTTTAAGAGATAGCTGTCACTAGGAGCTTTGGAGGGAATCATGATTATAGATGCAAAATGAACTGATGTCCTAAGGCAACTTCCCTTCCTGAGATGGGAGGTCCCTGTGGGTGGGTGACTCTGCAGGGGTTTGCGACTGCTGGGCTGCTCTACCCTGCAGCCCTGGGAAGGCTGGGCGTCTGCCTGTGGGTGGAGCAGCTGCAGCAATGCCGGCTTTGGCTGGGAAGGCAGAGATCTGAGATCGGTGTGGGTTCGGCCTGGGGCTAGGGCATGCATGAGTGACACAGGGAAGCAGACGGATCTACTTAGCCAGGTCTCCCTGTGTCCCGATGAACCTGGGCCTGCTCAGTTCTGGGGAGTAACTGGCTCCTCCAGGGAGCAGGCTTCCAGCATGGCCTCTGTGGTGGCAGGAGAAAAAGAAGGGGCCTTCCAGCACTCACAGTGTATGCCCTCCCCAGGCTGAGTCCTCGAGGACGTAACCCCAGGAGGAAGGCCCGCAGAGGGTCGGCCCACGGACCGTGCAGCCCGGTCCACGGCGGCCGTGTGGTGTGGGTCTTGTTGGCTCAGCGTGCGTAGTAAACATGGGAGGGTGCTGGGCCTGCTGGCTGCCCGCACCAGGCTCTTTTTAGCACCATGGGAAGGTCACAGGCTCCTAAGAACAGATCAGAGTTCTAGCAGTTTTCCTTAGAGGGCCACATCCATGATCTGTATCAATTTGCCAGACAACCGTGGCCTGTGGTTCCGTGGGCCTGAGAATTCCTGATAAAGTCCGGGAGGCGTAAAACGTCGCTTCTGAGGCTCGTCAGCAGCATTTACTCTCATGCCAGCGAATTTGTTGCTTTTGTGGTTTTTGTGTTGTCCCCCCCACACGGCTAGCCGGGGCAGCTGGCTGGGATAGGCGGTCCGCGAGCACGTTGAGAGATGGACAATGTTAGCCTGTTTCTCTCGCTGCTACACGTCTGATCCCACGTGTTAGAGAAACAAGCTATTATCAAACATTTCAGGAGATAAACTTGTAAATAGAATGCCTGGAGGATGAGGCGTCTTACTTCCCAGGAAAGTGAGCTCAACACCTGCAAGCTACAATGAGACCAAGAAAGAAGAGGCCCCGGGCCGGCCTGTGGCTTTCCCGGTGAGTGAGGCCTGAGGAGCTCAGGTCAGCTCCTCGTGTTTTCATGTCTCTACAGTTTTAAAAAAGTATTAAAAATAGACCGTCTTTGAAATATAAGTATTGACCTTTGTTTCCATCATCTATGAAGCTATAAAAATGGGGTAACACCTCCCCACAGAAAAATCTGGCTACTGATTCCTTTCCTAAGTTATGTTAAAATGGAAGTTATTGCAGAATATGCTTCATTTCGTAAATATTACATCTTGGAAGTATTGCTCCTTTGATAATACTCTCCGTGTAGCATGAGGGAATATTAGCTTTAAATATGCTCTTATCTAGAAAGAAATTGCCTGGCTCTATAAAAGCAGTGAGTCCTGCAGGGATAAGAAGGTGTCATCAGCCGCAAACCCTCAGTGGCCACTGGTGACATGCGATCCCAGTGTTAACCTCCATAACACCGTACTCTTCCCGGGCCTCTGAGAGAGCTAGTGTTCCCATTCTACAGACAGACCCCAAAGAACTCTGTTCACATCTTCTTACCGTAGGGGGAGGGCTAAAATGCCAGATCTGAGCATTTGGCATCTAGCAAGACAATACCCACTTAATGCACCATAAAAAAATTCTGTAAACTTTTTTCAATAGCATGTGTTTTGGCCCCAATACGATGATCCCACATGATCTCCGTGACGGTCTTTCTGCATGCACTCGGCAGCGGTAATGCTTTCCAGCCTGGCTTACATCTTTGAGACGTGACTAGCTGCCTAACAAGCCGATGCGGGCTCTGAGACATGGAACGTGTTTACGCGGGTTCCCCTCTGTCTGTGTGTGTGATGTGGATGGGCCACAACCGGGAGTCCTCTGTTGCCTAGATACGGTGGGGAGTCAACTGCAGTCTTATTTTCTGGAAGGCAAGCTGAGATTCCTGGTATGTTTTCGCTCTGCTCCAAGGCATAGGCAAACCACTGAAATAAACCCCAATGAAATCTTTGCCCTGAAACACCCTGGCTGAATTATGGAGTTACCTTTTGAGGTGAAAACTAGTCATGGATGACCCCACTAGAAGCAATGCACTGTGGCATTTTACCTTGTCTATTTTTTAGAATATTCTTGCCATTAAATGCGGGCATCTTCGAGATCTTGTGAAAACAGCTCCCCAGCCAGACAGTGGAAGAGAAAGAGGTTGAAGGCACTGCCGAGCCTGCAGCTCGAGGATCAGGAAACTGACTTCCTTATCACATTCCGGCAGGGGCCCAACAGGCAGGCCACACAAGTTTAAGGACTAGATGGTGAGGGACTTGATGCTAAAACACCTTTTAAAGCTTCTTGCGGCGAAGCTGGGAAGAGAACTTACTAGCACCTTCTGCTCCTTGTCCAGCCTGCACTCACAAGCACTGCAGGCCGAGCCAGGGCCGGCGAGCAAGGGGACGGCTTGATGTTTCCTGAGCTGCCCTTGCAGTGAGAGGGGTTTATCTATGGAGCCAATTCTCTGCATCTGGCGACTTGGTCACATCCCATGGGCAACCTAATACACAATCATCGGATTAAGCTGTGGAGATGAGGGGTGATTTCCTTGGCTCTGAACAGCTCGGGGCAATGGCCTTCCTGGAGAGACCCCGCCTTGCCCATTCTAAGTGGTGTGCCCGCACCAGCGTGCCCCTCCATAAAGGGCAGCCGGGAAAAGAAGTTCTGGGTGTTTCTGTAAAGCCCCTTTTTGCCTGCTCCCCAAATGTGCTCAGGGTCAGTGAGCTCAAGGTCAAGTTTCTGCCTGGAAATTCCTTGATACAACCCAGGTCCTCTCCGGGACTTCCTGGCTGGAAACCAGACCTTCCCTGTGACCTTGGAGCTTCAAGGCATAGCAGGTGGGCTTGCCTGTCGGCCGTGGGTCTCCCTGAAAGCCAAGCACAGCCTGACCCTGAAGCCCCTGGCTCTGGTATGAGGTGAGGGGTTCCAGACCATCACTTAAGGCTCTACCTGGGGTGTCTTGAGCTGTGTCTGACACCAGAACCACAGCCGTGGGTTAAATAAAGCCTCGATCAGAACGTAAACATCCCGTCCAGAATCCCATAAAGCACATTTCAAGTTCATTAAACAAGTTCACTAAATAAGCCTTCCTTCCGTGGAAAACTCAGTGATGGTGAAGATGCCCAGGACAGCGCCCCGCGCCCCGCGAGCATCCTGCATAAATTAGTAATTTACAAGTACCTGAGCACGTGGACAGAGCCGCAGCGCAGCGCCGCGGGGGCGGCAGGAGCTCCGAGTTCTCAAAGTAACGGTGTTTCAAACATTAAAAAAATTCTAAGAGTCGGTACAAAAAAGTAACTCCAACTGGCGCTGGAAGATAGTGCAAACTTGTGTCTCCACCGCTGAGCAGAGCCGCCGGCTGCTTCTCATTTCGCGCAGGTGGCGTGGGCGGACCTGGGCACTGGATGCGGGTGTTTCGGAGCAGGCCTGCGTGTGGGCCGTGGAGAGAGGAAGACGCAACAGCCGTTAGAGGCCCGAGAGCGACGCCTGCACTCGCAGACCTCAGGGGTTGGTGCTCGCCCTGCTCTCTGATGTGCTTCCAGAACCCCACCCCACCGCCCCCTGCCTGGAGCTGCAGGTCGCATGGGGGCCTGCTCCTGGGGGCAGGATGTCCTGTGGTCTGGCAGAGGACCCCTAGGGGAGCCCTTCTCAGAGCTACCCCTCGCCCACCACAGACGTAATTGAGTTTCCAGTCATGAAAAAAGTAAAACAGGGATGCCATGCATTCCGCTACTGTTATTTAACCTTGTCCCTCCGGAGTGCTTGCATGTCAGCATGCGCCCCACTGAGTTACGAATGGGGTCACTGACATTTCCTGGGTGCTGTGTCTAAAATCCAGTGTTTTCCTGCCCTCACAGCTTATCTCACATGTCACAAGGCACCTGCACTGTGTGACTGTGCGGTTCTGGGGCGCAAAGCCGCCATGCGGGATCCCTCAAAAATGAACATGCAGAGTCATCCTTCCCTCGCGGGACAAGACCCATGTCGGCTGGCACCTGTGGAAGCAGCTACCAGAGGTGAGACGGGCGCCTGCTCGCACCGAGGAGCGGCTCCCCCCTCACACCCCTTCACACTCTGTGCAGGAGTGGCTCTTGTTTGCTCCGTGAGGGAAACTTCCAGACCAGTGCACACGCCACCTCGAGACAGTTAGGGTGTGGTGCTGCTTTTCCCCTATTTACGCAGCTGGGAAATGAAACCATTATCCGACCCTTTGGCCGGCTTTATCTCTGAGACTTCTTGGGCCCCAGTTTCACAGACTGACCATTTCCCCCTAGAGTTGTGGTGAGATCACAGGTGTGTGGCCCCCTTTGCAGAAGCTGAGTTAGTGACCCAGGGGCTGGCTCTTGCCACCCCTTTGCCTCTGATGAGCTTAAGGAGCCAGCCTCCTGCCGCGGGAAGCACTGGCTACAGGTTTAGCCCCCGGCGGGGGAGAAGAGGGGGCAGTGGTAGCCTTTGCAGACTCCCACGGTGTAACTGGTCCGTGGCCACCAAGATCCCAGCAGAAATGACAGAGGTGTGAGCGCCAGGAGTGTGGCCAGTAGTGCAACTGTGCTCACACCCGGGACTGAGCAGTCTGGAGCATTTACCTTTGTTTTCAACTGAGCCGACCTGATTGCAAGTTTTTATTCCTTCGAACAGTAGGTAGGTCTTACCCCCTCGCCGGTGAGGTTCCTGGGCGCGCAGCCACCCCCGCAAGCCCCTGTGAGCGGGCTCTCACCCAGCTCTTGGTGTGCAAGTCTGCAGAAGTCAGGGTGTAGGGCTCCGCCTGCCGCCTCTTCCATGGGAGGGTGCAGAGGTGACTCGGCTGGAGAGGCCTTCCCCGGCGACAAGAATCGCCTTTTAAGCAAAGGTCGGGGTGCCTGGGGCTCCCTCTGCCTGGCCACTGACTCTCATCCTCCTCTGGTCTCCTCCACTGCCCCCCCGGCCTCACCTCACGTCTCGGGGCCCAGGGGCCGGGCAGCGTCACAGATCAGAGGGAGGTTTCTGGAGCCACAGGCCCAGCCTTCCCCACACCCCCACCCAGGTCTGCCGGATCTGTTGGGGACGGTGGGGCCGTGGCGAAGAGCTCTGTGGTGACACCTGGTTATCCCCACACCTGCCCTCTCCTCCCAGGTGGTTCCCAGGTGTGGGGTCACGGCCTAGCCCACTACCCACCTCCCCTCCCCGCTGCCAAAACCCCGGACTGGTCTCAAAAGCCTGGCTCAGCGAGACTGGCCCGGGACAGTTCAGGGGAGGAGGGACAGACGAGGCCGCATCAGACCAACCTGCTGGGCGCCAGGCGGAGGCTGGACTCGGGCCGGCCCAGGGTCCTGGCTGCGGTGCTGGCCGGCCGGGCCGTCTTGCTCAAAGGGTCTGCAGGCAGAGGCTTCTGAGGAGGGTTTGGCTTACGAGTTCCCTGCAAAAACCCACAAGACTAGGCGTCATTCCCCGTCTTGGCGAACGGGGCCCACACCCAGTGACCCCATGAGCCCCGAGTTCTCTGCCCAGGGGACACGGCCTCCCTCCTGGAGCTGACATTCTGAGTCTGGGGGGAGCTGGGGCCACCTTTGGTAATCTCGCCACAATCATCTGGAGCGGCCTAGGGGTGCCCGCCCAGAGAGCCAGCCCCGCTCTGCCTTGAGGGTCTTTCAGCTCAGAGAGGCTGAAGATGAGAAGGTGGTGGAAGGGGAGGAAATGCAGTCATCGCTTCCCCTCTGCCAGCGTCTACGGCAGACGCGTTCACCGGGGGTGACTGGGTGAGGAGGGGCGTCCTCTGCTCGTCACTGCGGGGTCCCTTCCCCCGCGTGGGCCGTGATTGCTCACTGAAGGGCCCTGAGGCACTGGGAGATGCCCAGAAGGAAGAGCCAGGACTCAGCGGTCTGGGGGCAGGAGAGCCCCACGGGGACTCAGGAGGCGGGGGTGGGGCAGCGGTCGGGCGAGCGGGGATGCTCTGTTTGGGGTTTGAGCCGAAGACCGACATTTTTGAACTCGGGCTTGTCATGTTGTTAGGGGGAAAAGGCAGTCCCAAAGCAAATTCCATACAGGCTTTGTGGACTCCACCCCCACCCCAGGTCAAAGCCAAAGACACTGGGAACTCCAAATCCCATCACCACCCAAGGGAAGGTGGCTGGGACCTGAGGGTGGGGTTAAGCAGCCAGGTGGATACAAAAGGCAGACACGTGGGCTTTGGGGGCTCTCTCTCCATTTTGGGACCCTCGGCCAGCTCGCGGCGTCCGTCTAGCTCTGAGAGTGACTTTGGGGTTTCCAGGTCGTCGGATCGGGTAGGACGCATTAAAGACTTTATTTCCCTATTTTCTCCCCGAGTTGTACATTTTCCTTATTTCTTTTTCTCTTGTAAATAAACCTTTTATTAACCCTTTTGCGTGTGTCTGTAGTAGAGTATTCATAAGTCCCTTTAAAGCGCGCGGGTGAGGACCCACAGCCAGGAACCCATTTAATATCGGGGTTGCTCTATAACAATGTGACCTCTCTAGACCCAGCTTTCCCCCCGCAAGTGTGCGGAAACAAGGCCAATCTCAGAGCACTGGCAGCCAAACCAAGTAAAATAACCGTAGGAAGCTCCCAGAACAGAGATATCAGCATTTAATAACATCAGCATTTCCTTAGCCACAGAGTTTACAATGCTGAATGGAAACATGAGCGAAACAGCAGAAGCGTCTAGAGCAGTAAAACCAGGATGGATGTGCAGGGCCCCTGAGGCCGGCTGCCCCCAAGCGGGGGGCTTGGCTGGCCGGCTGGCCAGTGAGTGTGGCCAGTGCCCCCGGGGAGAACAGCCCTCAGGAGGCTCACAAATGCACGGACGCAGGCTGGAGCCTGTCCTAGGGGGGTGAGTGGGGACAAGTCACTCCAGAAAGTAAGGATTCTGTTCACCACCTGGGATTCGGGAACACGTGGGGGGACCCTAACATGTGAGTCCAGCATCTCACAGTCCTCAGCCCCCTGAAAAGGCATATCCGCAGCCATCAGAGCTGGGCTGAGAGGACGCCACCGTCCAACGGCCCAAAGTTGCTGCCCAGGACTGTGAGAACCACAGCTGCATGGGAACCGGGCTGGGAGGCGAGGCCAGCGGGGCAGGAAGGAGCCGCTGAGCAGGTCCCACTGAAAGGTGGTGGTTCTGGCCCTGCTCGCCGGATGGCACCAGCAGCTGCGACCTCGACCTCGCAGGCCCCTGGTCTGGCAGCAGGGCCGGAGCCTCAGCCCACGGAAGCCTCAGCTCAGGCTCCCGCCCACAGGCCCGTGCGCACACCTGAGGCACCTTCCTCTGGGCTCCCAGGCAGGTAAGATCACCTGTAAGTCCTTTACCCGAGCAAAGCTCTTCAAACACGGTCAGTGATTGCTGCCCATGGACTTTGCCAGCCAGAACACCACAACACTGCCAGGAGCCAGGGGTCCTCTCCCATGCTCTGGCTGTACATCAGGCTCCATGTCTCACAGGGCGGCAGAAAACCGTGAGCAGGATGTTAGAGGGAAATGTAAGAGTGAAGACACCCTCCATAAAATTGAAAAACTATGAGGATTAAATCATTTACTACTAGATGATTCTAGTCTTGTTGCTAAATATGAATAAGTATCTAGTCCTGGCAATAAAGATAATGTCCAGTTTTTATTGTAATGCCCTAGAAAAAGCGAGATATATGTCACCGTGTGTCACAATATATTTGGATTTACTGTGGACACTCGGGAGGTAATTGGCCTGGCCATTCATTCAGGTTTGCCTGGGACATTCCCAAGTTACGTTTATGGCAATGTTTAATTATTCATCCCCCTCGGCCGTGTCCCGGAGAGGATAAATGATGTGGTCACGTGGTGATAATAGGCTCCCAAAGTTGAAATGCTGATGGAAATTCTGACTTCAAACCTGGGGACTAGCTGAGGCAACACCCTGACTCCCTTTTGCCTACGACATGGTTCTGATGGTGGCGTGGACAGATGCCACTCGCCGGTCTGCCTCGGCCCCACGCTGGCTTCCCACCAGGCCCAGCTGGGCCCAGGAGGCCGTGGAGGCAGCAAGTGAGTCCAGGTGATGCGTCCCGATCCCTCAGTCTCCAGGTACGGGGCGAACGGTGGGGCTCAGAGGACGCTCGGGAAGAGACACCAGCTACGTGTGCTGTGGTCTGGGGGGAAGGGGTGACATTTTCACACTCCCATGAGCTTCTCTTGCTGCCTTGGCCAAACCGAATCTGGGCTACTCCTGAGCAGGCCGGTCGGGCCTGGCCACCAGGTTCGTCTGAGTGGAGGCGGGTGGCTCGGTACGCGGTCCTTCAGACCCGCTTTCCTTTTAAACAGGGGAGTGAGGATTCAGACCCTCGTTTCTTTCCCTTTTCAAATTCTAGATCGTGGTGGGAAAAAAACAAGCTATGCTATAAAACGGTCCCATTTCTCATTTCTTCTGCTCATGTCCTACTAACAATAGCCACATATTTGAAATTTCTTAATCCAAAGACAGCCCTTTGTCTTGGCCATCAGGAAGAATTCTCAGCTCCTCTGCCAGATAAGAGCAGACGCACCCTCTTCCCCAGGGAGCCGGTGCAAGATGCTGGCACTGTCACAAGAGACGCAGCAGAGCTCACGGGGCGCAGGGAAGAGGCCGCTCTCCAGCCATGCTCCCCTCCTCCACACCGCCCCCACCCCCCAACCACGGCCGCTTAACGGGTCAACGAGAAAATCGAAGGTGCAATAAAAGATTCTTAAAGACAAATGCAAATGAAGACACTGCTTACCAGAACCTACGCTGTCTCATAGGTTGGAAATTTTATAGCAAGCAGGCCCACCCCAGCGACCAAGCAGCAGCATGGCCAAGCCTCTGAACTTGCCCCCCAACAAACTAGAGAAGCAATTCCGGCAGCCACGAGAAGGCAGGAAACAGTCAAAGTTAGAACAGAAATCAGATAGAGATCAAAAAGCCAGCCCCAAAGATCAATGAAACCAAGACAAATCTCTAATCAGACGCAAAAGGAGAAAACAGGTGAATAAAATGCTAAATGAAAGGCGATGTCACAGCAGACACTGCAGAAATACCAAGGATTATGAGTGTGACGAGCAGATACAGCCCAGGGCTGAATGAGGAGGAGGCAGAGACCTCGGGGGTCGGGCCTGAGACTATGAGGCGCACAGGAGCAAACCCCGGTCACGCTCCTGACACCTGAGAGACGAGAGCTGTTTGGGGACTCAGCCCCCGGCAAGGGCCCTGAGCAAGGACAGGCACCGGGGACGACGCCAAACCCAATGAATTCCGCACAGCCGAAGAAAGGATCAAATGGACAGACGGCCCATGGACGAGAGAGCTGCACACCTCGCACAAGTGACCTGAGAAATACCCAATTAAAAGACGGGCAGAGGCTCGGAATAGACGCTTCTCCACAGCAGACGCACAGATGCCGGCGCGGGACGGCCTCGCTCGCTCGGAAAAGCGAAGCAAAACAATGGGCGATCCCCTCGCCCCAGCGAGACCGGGAGAGAAGGGGCCTGGGTCCCTGTGGATCGGAACGTGAATCATGGGAAAGGGTCTGGATGATTCCTCAAATTAAGAAGGGAAAATCCCACAGGACCTCGCCGCCCCCACTAGTCTTTGCCCAAAGAAGGCAGAAGCTTTGCTCCAAAGAGAGGTGGCTCCGCGCTTTTCTCTCCAAATCTTAGAACCTCTCTCTGCAGGGGGGACTGAGCCGTCCACTGTGCTCCACGTCGTGATCGTGATCTACAAACGCCTCGTCCCGAGGATCCCACCTGGGAAGGGAGCCTGGTGGCAAGGTGGGAGGGCGGCTAATTGTTGGAATTTTTCATAATGTGCATAATTATTACAAAAGGGAGAGTGGAAACGTAAAACCCGGGCTTCTGGTTTTCTCACATATAATCTGTGTTCACAGGCGCAGAAATGAGTGGGGAGCAAAGACCCCTTTGGCCATTGTGGCCCCTGGAAGGGGCCTCCTGCCGTGTGTTCCGAGTGTGCTCCCGGAGGAGAGGTGCTCCCACATGGCACAGACGCCTCCGGCGTCCTCAGACGGGCCTGTCACGGGAATAACCCACGCGCGGCGTGGAACCACGGCTGAGCTCAAGTTTCTGGAAGCACCAGCAGGTGGCAGGGAGAGGTGACCAGGGGGCCAGGACCTTGCAGCTATTTTTTTAGATTTATAGGAGGAAGGGACTTGAATTTTTATTAATCCATGACTCATGGAGTGTGACGGCCGCGGAGGAACACTCGATACTGTGACAGGCCGGCTCTGTCCACAGCGCAGGATCCTGTCAGATCCTCGTATTTCCTCCATGCCCGCCTGTCGGGGAGGGGCCTGTGTGGAGCCTGGGGTGGCCAGGCGTGAGGGGGCTCCCCTGAGGCAGCAGGATGCGGGGAGCCTGGGGGAGGTGGGCTGGGGAGCACCCCAGCAGGTGGTGGCATCCCAC